AATTTGGTTAATTCTACATCTATATAACGGGATATCATTTTCATAAAGCGTATTTTAGTGGACAAAATTACATTTGCACTGAGCACCTTAATATCAATGTTTATTTCAACACACAGTCCCTGCTTATATTATTACTATATGTACACTTAATACTTGAATCATGTACCAACAAGTTACGACACAATTTATTAGTATACTATTATGCTTAATTAATGGCCTTATATATAGTTGGAAATGTCAACTATGACTATGGTGAACAAAGTTACTGGTTGAAAATCAAGTTTAAATGACAATAATACAGAAAAATTGTATTTATGCTTCAAAATTTCATTACCAATTACTTTGTCTAAATTGCAAGTTATACAAAAAATTTATAAGTTCTGCAAATTGATATCCATTCCTTATATGATGCTCTGTCTCTAATGATTTCTTACAAAGTATTTTCATTGAACCGCAGGACACATTAGTGTAATCATTAGTATTTTTAAGAAAGAATTCAAGTTTGATCAATTTATTTATTTTACCTATGTACAACTATTGTTGTTTGTATAAAATTAAAATATTCTATATTATTATTATAATTATCTAAACATTGTTTTATTGTTGATTAATTTTTCAAAGTGGCAAATAAATAATATCATAATATTTTATAAGCCTTATTCACAGTTATGCCTATATCAAGATTCTCATACCAAGATAACAAAAAAGTTAGATATAAACAACAATGCCCAGAAGTTCTGACAAAATAAATGAATACAACTATCTATAAAACTAAATGAGATTAAAAAGATCAATCACCTCATGGCCCATCTACTAGGACCTCTCCAGTAGATAATAAATAATCATCAACCGGCTCAAAATTAGGACATACATCATTACCAATCTTATGACCCTACCATCTGCGACACCTATGGTGTACAGCTCACAGTAAAACATATTCCAACTGTATGTCATCATTTTTAACAAGAACAAGAAGAAAATATTTCCTATACAGCTCTACCCACCTTCAAGTAATCCTCAGCCCAGACTAAATGTGTATTTTGTGTATCAGAAGTAGATGCAAAGCTGTCTGATAAGCTTTAGGCCCGTTTCACATGGACGCGTATCGTACGCGCGCTGATGAAACGCGCATACGACGCGTATCAAAACGCGACACTCTGTTGTATTCACATGTATGCGTACCATACGCGAAACGAGGATCAAACTGACCCCGGGGAAATTTTGTCATTTAAAGTTTAACTTCGGTATAGACAACACTTATAATAACACTTAATACAACTTAGTACAAGTTAATTAAAATAAAAAATGAATAATCAAAGAGAAAAGCGGCTTATACTTTTTACGGGGTATTATTATTTAAAAAAAAAACAAATGGCTAAAAAAAATTGTGCTAAAAGACTTTGGGTTCACCCTTTGATAGCCCAAAGGTCTTTAAAAGGTGCATTTGCCACGATGTTTTCTGATCTCCGAGAGCACGAAGATAAGTTTTTCAATTATTTCCGGATGTCAATCAAAAGTTTTGACGAACTATTATACAAACTAGAACACAATTTAAAACGTTCATATTGTATCAGAGTACCAATAACTCCAGCAGAACGATTGTGTGTAACATTGAGGTAAGCTTGTTTTAAATTTGAATTACCTATATTTTAGTTTTGATAAAATAATGTCAAGTTCTTTTTAATTAACATATTCTAACTTAACACAAATAATGACGTTAGGTCTTAGGTCTAGCCGGCTTAGGTACCTACATAATGCAATAAAATATTAAAATATTTATTATTATACATGGAAATATGTACATATTTGTAACTTAGTATAAAAATATAAAAGTTATGTGTTATATTAACAAAACAAATTGTATTTATTAATTAAATCAAAACGTCCTTTTTTTGATAAAGAATATTTAAAATAAAATAAAAACTAACATTTCCAATGAAAATAAAATTAAAATTAAAGTAAACCCAAAATGAACAATAAAAATAAACAAATAATCTTTAAATTGTTTAGACATTATATTATGTGAATTATAAAAAAATAATTAAGAATTTGATGGGTAAGTTAGGTTGCAGGAGGTATCGGGCATAGACGTAGAAGATTGTTGTATTTGCGAGTTTATTGGTAAAAAATGTGAATACTGCTGCTGATGTGAAAAATAAAAAGGGTCGTTGTGGTTTACAGAGTTTTGAAACATAGGAGGATAATTTGGAGTCTGGCCGGGACCATTTTTTATTTCCATTGTTAACGCTAGAATACGTGAACGAAAAAGAAGTTTTTGATCCGTATTAAATTGACGAACAGTTGGCAATAGAGACTCAAAAAAAGATCTGTCCTCATCTTCTATCGAAGTCTCTCTAATCGCTGCGAGAAAATCTTCTTCAAAATTGTTTTTTTGATTTTTTGGTGTTGACGTACTTTTTCTCTTCCTCGCCCAAGGATCTCTATCGGAAGTAACATTAATGTCTTCCAATGGGTCATCTTCGCCGTTCGATTCATAATTGATTTCTTCGTTGTCTGAATTTCCCGAAATTTGATTAGGGCTAAAGTTAGATTCCGTCCTGAAAATTGTATTTGTATACTAANTAAAACTAGTTTTCCAGCTATCAGGGAAAAGCCCGAGAGAGAGTGATAAATTAAATAGGTAATGTAATGGCGTGGAAATGACAAATTTACATTCTCTTAGGAATATGCTTGGAATTAAATCGGGCCCAGGACTGGAATTGGAACTTAATGAACCTAATGCTTCAAATACCTCAAATAAATCGATAGAGCAAGAATGTAGTGAAGAAATAAGAACTTTGGGAGGAGTTTGCTGCTTGTAATTTACATTAATATTATCATAGTTTTCATAAACACTAGAGAAGTAGTTCGCAAAAGTATTAATAATATCCTTAGGAGTATTAAATTCATCTGTGTTTAAATGCATACAATTAGGTAAAAAATTATTTCTACGTTTACTGTTTATGAAATTCCAAAATTTTTTAGGATTGATTTTTAAATTAGTTTGAATTTTATTTATATAATTAAGATAATCTTTTTTAGAGAGAAACTTACATTTACTACGAAGATTAGAAAATTTATTGTAATCACTCACCAAACCAGAACTCTTAAACACTTTATGAGCAATTTTTTTTTTAAAAATAGTTTCTATTAAATTTTTACTATACCACGGAGGGTAGTATGACTGACGTTTAATTATTTTAGGAACAAAAATATCAATGATATCATAAATAATAGAATAGAACAAGTCGACAGCTTCATTAATACTAAGATCATTAAATAAAGTATTCCAATCTATCGATGCTAAGCAAAACGTTATATCAGCGTAATTACAATTAAAAAAGTTATACATGCAAAAATTATATTTAATTGGTTCACTTATAACTATAGGAATATAAATTAATAAGCCCGGATGATAAATGTCACACGGAATAAGTGGATTTACAGATTTAATTACGGATAAATTACTTAAATCAGAGAGAACTAAGTCAAGCATTGAACCAGTTTTGTTATAAACATTATTAAATTGATAAAGATTTAAAAAAGATAAGTTCGATAAGAAATCTGATTCAAAATTACTTAAGTTCAATAGATTTGGAAAAAATCCGATGGAACTAGCAAGCCATTGTAGTTTAGGAAAATTGTAGTCACCAACCATAATTACGTTAGTAACATAAGGAAATTTTAAAAGTAAATTATTAAAAATATCAAAATGTGCATTGTAAATTGAGATATCAGTATGAGGAGGAAAATAAACATTACCTATTATAATATAACTATTGTTTACTTTTAAAATGACAAATACATGTTCAACAGGGCTGATAGGTAAAGGTAATAAACGTGAATGAAATTTATTATTAATTGATAGCAGAACACCCCCACCTCTAGAATGATTGCTAGTATTATTGTTTCGGTCACAGCGATAAGTATTATAGTTAGATAAACCTAATTCAGAAGTATTAACATTAGGAGATAACCAAGTTTCAGATAAGCCGATAAAATCATAGTCTGATAAATATACATTACGCATTAAAACATTTAATTTGGAATTGAGTCCGCGAACATTTTGATAGTAGAAATTTAGGTTATTAATAACTGGCCCGTTTGTTAGTTTTTTGAAATGGTCGGTACACCTTTGACAAACTTCATCACTAAGTTGGTTTCGCCGGCTGTTTTACGTTCCTCGAGTTTCACTATGATATCACGAAGTTGATTTCGTTGCATAATAGTACGATCTGGAGATATACGAATGGAACTGTATGTAGAAGACGTGCGAAGTTTGTGTTTATTTTTAAGTACAATAAAAACATCGGATGGCTCATGTAAAGTAACTTTAAGTGGCCGAGGTTTACTTGATTTTTGGCCTAGTCTAGAAACTAATGCTGGAGCAATATTAGGAGTTATAGAATGTAGAACAGATTTAATTAGCGATATATCATCTTCAGTATTTCCATCAGATTCTGCAGCATTAAAAACAATTAAATTACGTGATCTTGCCTGACGATCAATAACTTCGGATATTACGGTCTCGTCCGCTGAATAGTTTGATGATTTAGTACTAGACAATTGATTTTCTAATTGGGTGACTTTATTTTCGAGCACTAAAGTACGAGTCCCCAAGTCCCGCAGTTGAACAGAAACATTGTCGAGCTTCTTATTGAGTGACGAAAGCGAGGTTTCATGTTTAGAAACCGATTGTTTAATATCATTTACTGTCGAAAGTATGGTATTAATTTTAGATATAAACAACAATGCCCAGAAGTTCTGACAAAATGAATGAATACAACTATCTATAAAACTAAATGAGATTAAAAGATCAATCATCTCATGGCCCATATATTAGGACCTCTCCAGTAGATAATAAACAATCATCAACCGGCTCAAAATTAGGACATACATCATTAACAATCTTATGACCCTACCATCTGCGACACCTATAGTGTACAGCTCACAGTAAAATATATTCCAACTGTATGTCATCATTTCTAACAAGAACGAGAAGAAAATCTTTCCTATACAGCTCTACCCACCTTCAAGTAATCCTCATCCCAGACTAAATGTGTATTTTGTGTATCAGAAGTAGATGCAAAGCTGTCTGATAAGCTTTAAAGATGATTCAACTGTCGTTCAATAGGTTCACCAAGTTCTAGAGAAGCTGAGTATTACTACTACTGTAGTACCATTAAACTGAAAATATAACGGTTAATCTTAGTGATGAAGTTGTATTAATAAGATGATATTATGTTTCAACACACCTGACATAGATTAATTAGACACGATTAAAAAAGACAATGTCAGTGACAATTGAGTCACAATTTCAATTTCTACATTATAATCAAAAACAGCGTTGGAATAATAAAATAATGATCTATATGAACCTAACAAAAATGTACGACATTTTAATGAACAGTGTAGGACAAGGTCTGAACGCCTCTGAGCTGTTTGCATAATACACATTGCTCAGCCTAGTAAACATTACTAAATTGCTTGGCCCCTAGAAGATTATCACCTTATCTTCAAACTGATAACACTCGCGTCTCTCGCCTTGTTGGAAAAAAATAATACGCACTTAATTTTTGACGAGTTTTTTAGTTTAAATAAATTCCACCGTGAGCGCCACCATTAACGAAGTCTGATTCTACGTGAACGCGGTGAACGCGAGCGACTGCTATTCTGACCCATGCTGTTCGTCCCCCGAACGAGCGACGAAAAACAAGCCGTTTTGTTTTACGCCGCGTCGCCCGCGTCACATTGGACACAACGTTATGTTGTCATATAACAACATGACTTTAATGCGATGCTTACAGCATTAGTAGACATCAATTTCACTTGAGAATAAATTTAAAAATAATTACATGTTTTCGTATAGGTACCCAAAATATTACTTAACAAAAAACTAAAATCAGTAAATGTAGGTAATATGTGCAAATCAATTTCGAAGAAGGATTAGGTTCGATCTAAGGTAATTCATAGGTGGATAGGTATAAGGTAATTTTTTTGATACGTGGAAATGTTCTTAAGAGCCCACCAAACGGAAAATAATTATTTATTCAATAAAACAACTTTATTACTTCCAAATAAATAATTATTAAAATTATACAAATCATCTTTAATTAATCATTATTCACTATATTTTCATAATTTTTTAATTGATTTATTTTTAGATTCGCTACTTAAATATTTATTACCAATATAAATACAAATTTTTATACTTTCTTTTATTAATTTTAAAAAACCACGTTTATAGTTTACTTGAGTGACGGACTGAGTAAAAAGTCATTTGTAAAAACTGTATAAAGACCAGCCACCGGGATAAACGTTAGTGAATAAGTGAATAAATTATATATTTTGACAAGAACTTTAAAAAAGCAAACCACACAGACACACAGTTGGTAATTCTCACTAACTGTAGAGACATTTGGATATTGAATAAGTACCCAATAATAATTTCGGACAAAATTACGTTTCGTATCGGGATATGAGTATATGACTGCGCAGTACGTGTTCACAGTCGGATATTTCGGTCTTCGGTTAAGATGTCGTCACACCCGCATATATGAGTTGTATACTTGTATCCGTCTTACGAACGTCTAAACATAGCAAAAACTGTTTTATAGATAGAACCACTCATTCTGTAGTCTAAGCTAAGTAATCAAATGTGCGTACTATTAGGAGGTGAACATTTACTGTTTGACATTTTTCGGTATCACAAATACAAGAAAAGTTTTTAATGTTTAAAAATTCATTAGTTAAATCTCGAATAACTTTTTTTGTATCTGAGATATC